GTCAATTCTTGGTTAACCGTTGTGGTCCATTTCAAGTTTGTGAATATAGCAAGTTCATCTTTTCATCAACATGTGGACTGTATGTATGCACCATAACACATGTCCATTTTATTATTTTTAGTTTTTTAACTCAACCTTCCCATACCTGGGCACCTTCCTGGTGTGTGGACTTCAATTCCGAGAATTCTCAGCAATGACCATGCTTGTTAGGGAATTCTGGGACATCCAGACCTTGAGAAGGTATCTAGTTTGGAGAACACTGCATTAACCCTCTCTCCATCAAGATGATGCATATTCCTATGTCAATTAGATTAGCACCATGCCAATAAAGATCCATAGGGACACGGTGGCGCAGCAGTTTAATGACGCTGAAAGTTGCTGGCCAGAAATGGTCGACACTTCAGTGGTTCAAGCCCAGCTCCGCGCACCACAGTGAGCTCCTGTCTAATCCCTAGCTTCTGCTAACCCAGCAGCTCGAAAGCATCCGCGAGTAAATAAATGGGTACTCTCATCCTGGTGGGAGGAAAAATGCTGGCGGCGCCTTGGACGGGAGATGGGACCAGTTGCTGGTAATGCGGAAGCCGCACACGCCTGAAAAAGGCGCGAAGCAACGGAAACCCCGCCTCCTGCACTCGCCAGCTGGGCTCTGCTCTAGGAAGGAGGCAATGGCAAACCACTGCCGAAACACCTTCCCTTGAAAACTGCAGGGACTTGTCCGGGCAGTCGCCGCAGAATCAGTCACGGTTGAGTGCGGATAAAAAAAAAAGAAAAAGATCCATTTCATTCTTGCAGTCAGGATAGGGTCATGGTTTTAATGAATTCAGAATCTAAAACTTCATATGTTCAGGTTATTTTTCCCCCCGGGGTTGTCTTTCTTAATCACCTCTGGAATGTAGTAGCAGTTGCAAAGCATGAAATGTGCTTGGTATTGCCTGTGACACTTTATGAAAGCGAAGGTTGGGCTCTGAAGAAGCAGAATAGGGAAGAATATTGACGCCTTTGAACTTTGGTGTTGGAGAATACCATGGACAGCCAAGAAAACAAACCAGTGGATCATCAGACAAATCAACTCAGAGTTATCACTCATGACACAAATGACCAGGCTCAAATTATCCTACTTCAGACACATTATGTGAAGACCCAGCTCTCTGGAGAAGGCTTC